TCTTTTCCTCTGAGAAAAGCCTCCAGAGCAGTGTTTTGCTCTTCTTTCAGTGAAGAAATACTCTGTAATTCCGATAAAACTTGCTCGATAGTGACGCTAACGCTAGTTTCATCGGCTGAAGCCGCCATGTTCTTTAGACTGAACTGTTGCACTTCTTGTTGCGTCACACCTCAACCCGCCTCAAAGCCAATGCTGATTGGGCGTTCGTTTGATGAACGGCTCCAAATTTTCTTTAACGGAGAGTCTCCAGACTGAACTGCGAGTGAAACCTTGAAAGCTCGTGAGATCTGGATGGTCTCACGAGGCTATAATCCTCGCCTATTTTGCATACCCGAATGGAAAAGCAAATAACTTAGGAACTGTAAGCCCACATTACATGTGCAATACGTTATTTGGAAGCTAACTCCCTCTAGTTTCCTAATATATAAATTAAAATTGGGTGAGTAGAACACAGACCAACCTGCACCAGTTCAAACATGACACAAAGTTGTTGTTTTTTTGTTCTCGGAATTGATAGGTCTTCTTTGAACAGCAGTAATAAATATATTCTTGAGAAAATGCAGGTTGTATTGTATTATATTTGCTCTAAAACATGTCAACCACAAATGCAGAAAATGTCAGACCTCTAGCTATAACAGTTCCAGAGCTGTGGGGTTTGGAACTTTTGGTGTCAGCTTGGAGCTGTCCTGGTTGGTTTGCAGTTGCTCCTTAAAAACCCTATAGGATAGTAATGGGTTAGATTTGTTTATTTTATTTTTGTTTTTTAGGGGTATCGGGGTAAACAACTGCTCAGTACAGGTTTCAGATTTTAATTTGTGAAACATCCCTCCATTTTCCATCATGCATATGCCAAGTGGGGTCACGAGGGGTGCTGGTGTCTATATCCAGCTGTCGATGGGTGAAAGGCATGGGTCCCCCCCCTGGACAGGTCGCCAGTCCATGGCAGGGCAACACAGAGACAAACAACCATTCACGCACAAACTCAAACCTAAGGAGGATTTAGAGAAGCCAATTAACCTAACAGGTCATGTTTCTGGACTGTGGGAGGAAGCCAGAGTACCTGGAGAGAACCCACATATGCGCAGGGAGAGCATGCAAACTCCATGCAGAAAGCTGGGGTTCGAACCCGGGACCTTCTTGCTGCAAGGCAGCAGTGCTACCCACTGCTACTCTAAGCAGCCCAATTCGTAAAACATTGTTAAGGCAATTCTTTATTTCTCTCCACTTTTATAAAATGTTCTACTTCGTGTTTATCTACCGTCAATAACTCATACTGAAGTCTGTAGTTCATGCGGGGTCAAAACTTTGGCAAGGCAATGTTTGTGCAGACTGGCAGTCTTGTTTAAGGCTATCTTAGGGAAACTTTGCATCATTAGGTCTAGTCTGCTATGTAACCTGATAGATGGGATGTAAAAAAAAAAAAAAAGGCTTTAAAAAACAAGACAAGAAAACGACACCAGAAGAGGAACATATTCGATAGGTGTAGATAGAAACAGGTTTTGTTTAAACGGGAAACATAACATGTGATAACATCCAAGGCAAGTCTTTTCTTGTCATAGCTTGAGGGAATGTCGTATTCAGATGAAACATAGCAGCAACTTCATTACATGTATGTAACTGACGTTGTTGTGTAGCAAATTTCATTAAAGTTTCAGGAGCTCATTTTGAACGTGTCGAATTTATTCAAAGACCTGAGCCAAACTTTAACATGTCATCAGGACTTTTTCTATTTAATTTACTGTTTTGTTGTCAGTCATTATTTGAATAAAATAGAATAAAATCTACCCTTCTACCTGTACTTCCTTCTGATGACATCACATATGCTCGAAAAAATTAGAGTTCTTTTGTTTTCCACTCTTTATCTTGCATCGGTTATTGCTGTAGCAAAACGGTAGAGCTGTATCCGATGATGCTGCACGGAAATGACAGAACAGAAGCTGTTAAAAGGATTGGATCTAGATTTCCTTATCAGATGTCTTGAAGTGATTATTGTGATGCAAAAATAGAAAATTGTCACGCTCCACAAAGAAGGAAATCCCAGTTATGTTTCTTACGAAACTGCAGCATCACCACCATTGCAGTTAAAGTATGGAGGGTAAATAATTCAAATTAAAAACACCTTATAAATCCCAAAGGGAAATTAAATGTTGCATTAACTAATACGTTATTTTTTTAAACAGGTATTATAGGTGTTCATAGCTGCAGGCAGGATGGATCTTCTGTAGCGGTCTGTCTTGCACCAGATCTGGAAAAGCCTCTTACTGAAGACTCTGCTGTTGTTTAAAAATCTTCTGAAGAAGAGGAGGCTCACTATTGTTCATAATATTCTTTACTTTATGAATTCTTCTTTGTAAAATCTCCTTCATAGTTTCTAGAGGAGTACCTAGAACAGAGCTGACTGTCCTTATTAGCTTGTCGAGCTTTTTTAAGTCCGCTCTGATGCTGTTACCCCTGCAGCTGATGGAGGAAGAGATCACTCTCCACACCAGACTTCTAGAAGATATGTAGCATCATGTTGCAAACGCTGAAGGACCTTAGCTTCCTTAGGAGGTCCAGTCTGTTCTGTCCCTTATTGTAGATGGTTTTACAATTATGTCTCCAGTCTAGTTTGTTGTCCACGTGAACAATAAGGTATTTTTGCTCCTCCACCTCCTCCACTTCTTCGCCCATGATATTAATAGGATCCAACTTGTTCCCGTTTCTTCCTGAATCTACAATCATCTGCTTGTTTTGTTGACATTCCCGATCAGATGATTGTTTCCAGACCATGCCACGTAACGGTTCACCAGCTCTCTGTACTCGGCTTCTTGTCCATCTTTGATGCACCCAGTGACTGCAGAGTCATCCCAGCGTTTCTGCAGGTAACAGGACTCTGTCTGGTACAAGAAGTCAGACAGATACCCCATTTACACTACCCTTGAAAAAC